TGACAAGCCCATAATCAACTCTCTAGATCATCAGATACTGATTCCAACTCACATACCATTTAATAATTTAATGATAAAATTAATGGATAATCAAGACTATCTGATCAATACTTAGCTCAGAATAAAGTAATTTGGCTGAAGTATTCATTTTCTATTAACTATTATAGCAACAATGGCCAGCTCTTTATCTAAATCTTACATACATTTACAGGTAATGCATCTTTAATTAAGTCCCATTAGCATTGTATCTGTTTTTGAATACATTGAATTGTTTGGTTATTTTTCTAAAAATTTATTCATTAGTTAACCAATATTCAATAAAGTGGTAAAGTGTCTTCCAGGCCTGAAGAGACTAGTACAGTACTCTAGCTTGAGTTATCTACATGTAACTGTAATATTAAATGCAGTACACTGATCATTTCTGATATTGCCTCTTATACTGTTAAATCGATCTCCAACTTAAAACTTGGAAGTAATTTTCAGCCGATCAAAAATTGCTGTAGACCAAAACAAGCAATCAGATTGGTTGAGACACTTTGCGAATACATAAAACCATTTCAAAGTCAAGAAAGTAAACAAGTCGATTCAATTATTAAATGAATCATACATTTACATGTAAATGAGGGTTAGATGTTAAGGATTCAAATCAGGCATGCTTGAATTGGGTTTATGAAGTGTCAGAGTCTGACAATTTTCTATGATAATTATATTGGGTTTAAATGAGGAAAGGCACTCTACATGTACATGTAACTTAAAGGAGGCAAGTCTTTAACTTAATATCATCCAGTCTTCAACATTCCAAACATTTGTAATGAAGCAGTACTCAATGAACAAGGATAAACATACATGTATCCCACAGAAGAATACTTCCGGTATAGACTGGAATAACCAGATTCTATGCCAAAGACTGCCATTCAATTTGCACTCTTCACATTGAATGTAAAGCAGTATATACCTTCATATTACATTATTATGTGTTGCAACCAATTTGTGTCCATTTCTATGTGCCAAAGAATAGCAATTTACCTCCTTTAAACTGAATACGGCAACATCAGCCGTACTACTTGTAATACAGTTAGATAACCCAAACTAAGATGTGGAGAGAAATATTTAATTTCTTTATTGACTTTAATGTTAATGCTTGTCTCTTTGCTTGGCTCAACATGTAACTTTTTCCCCAATTTTCGTTAGGCTGAACAGTGAACACGTTTCACCACAGATGGAGCCACAAACATCTACATGTATGGACACGTCTTGCTCCAATCTAGCATTAGGTTGATCATTGAAATTTTGAGATACACAAATTTGAAGTAGCATACTAATAAAAATGAAACTACGTGTAATTGCATCTAGGTATGTTATCCTTCTTCCCCTAAATCACAAATATTCACAAAAACCTGGGAGGAAATGTCAATTCAACTCAAATCATCTTCTCTAATTCTAGACCAGAAAGTCAACAAAAATGCTCATTCAAAATTGGAGGAAGTCTATAAATAGAAGAAACTATGGAAGTAAATGGTGTTCTGGTAACAGTTACCGAATCAGACTCAATGTCCATAGTCATATTTGATAGTATTTGTAGGCGAAATTGGTAAATTGTTGATACTGTAAGAGCACAACTTTGTACTGCCACACAAGAATCGTCTGAATGTTAACAATCAATGCATGATTACCATACTACATGATAATGTACTTGTATGTATATTCTTTTGATAAAATGACAGTGAACGCATATGCCTGTACATATGTATGTACATGTACATGTATAATTCAGGAGTAAAATCTTTATGTAATACAATCTATCACATTTGTCTATGTCTGCTTTCTTAGATATCACAATAAATTTTAAATAGGAACAGATGTTGGCTGCTTGAAGTATGATATTTAAATTTCTCTGACAAATCCCACAAAAAAAAAATGTTATCCAAAAACAATCTCAAAAACATTTATCTGTGCATGTTGTTACTAGGTAACCATTAAAATTCATGCCTGTAGTACAAACTGTTGTCACATGCACATCCACTGGTATGTGATGTGAACTTTTTGAATTAGGAAAATTTGTCTGAATGCATAAAATGCACATTATAATGATTGAGGAATGTAACAGCAGTAAGCATATATGTATCAAGTGAAATGCTTCTGTAATATTTGGTGCAACATGTAACACCCTCAATTTATGAAAGTTTCTGATTTTTTATATAGTTCATCACAACCCCAAAGTTTCGACTTTTAACTGATAGCGGTCACGGTGGCTAAGTGGGTAAGACGCTGGCTCGCTAGCCTGGAGGTCGGGTGTTCGATCCCTGCATTAGCTGTGAAAGTTCATCCAGATTTTCCGGCGTGGTTCCCCCTTGTCATTGATGCAGGACGGAGGGCCTGACAAGGACAGCTGTCTAGTCATTCGGATGAGATGAAAAACCGAGGTCCCGTGTACACATTGGCATGCACATAAAAGATCCCTTGACAATTGGAATTTGATATAAGAGTAGGCCATAGTGCCGCTGTCCAGGCAACATTTCCCTCATAGCACACACGGTATGGCGTATGCCTGTCTTCATTAGCCCAGTTCAGAGCAGATCAGTAGGACGTTAAACCCCATTTCATTTCATTTTTTAACTGATAGTTCAGCTTTAAAAACTATCTTTATTAAATAATAATAGCTGATCTGCCGTTCAGCAACTGTTGATGATTAACCATAAAAATGGATAATCGAGTATTGTTTATTATCGCAACAACGGTAACAATGACAATCGAGTCTACAGTGTTATTGAAATGAGGATTTTTTTTTTAAGAGTGAAGTAATTTGACCGAAATTTTCAGCATATTTCCTTTACATTATCTATTTTTTAACTATTATGGCAAGAACTGTCAACTCTTTATCTAATCTTCCATGTAATGCTGCTTTAAGGCATATTGCTCAACTGTATGGCTGATGTAGTTATCACTATGTGGCCATAACCACCAAAGCACTCTGGAATAGTGTGGAGGAACTTATCGCTAACCACATACATGTAACAAAACTGAAGTTTGTATTCCCGAGAAAAAATACTACAGAGCTTCACACTATTGACTAGGATAATCATTTCAAAGAGTCTTCCATACAAAATAAATATGCTTGATAAGTTGATACACTAACAAACTTCTCGGAAGGTTCCTAAACTCTGAAGAACTCCAAATCTCACTCAGTCGACAGTTATGGATGAGTCAAATGGAATGTAGTACCAGTCACCAGAGCAGATGCCAATTACAAGAGTGCCAATCCTTTATCTATTAATTCTAAACTAATGTATGATGTACATTTCTTCATGGTGTCTACTATGTGTACATGTATGTTTCACTTTGTTCAAACAAAGTTGTGACATGCAAAATGATACATGTATACATGTATGTAACAACATGCTACAATTTTCAATAAAATTTATAAACATAAAATAGTACATGCATCAATGAATCACCATCAATCACATGTACAAATGTTGAAAATTTGATACATGTACATCAAAAACACTAGATTTTCAAAATAAATGTCAAGAATTGACCCTTCAGATACATGCATGTAAATGTATCTTATGGAAAGAATACTTAGCTTTAAAAGTATTTCATCCCAGGCCTATGTAAATTTAAACCTAGACATTTGTAGTTCTATGAAATGAGCATGGATCATCTCCAAATAATCAACATTACATGTATGTCTTTGAACTCCTCTGATAAATGGGATCCCCAGGCTGTGTAGTTAAATACACAAAAACTCTCCAATCTTAATTGCACACTAATTATCTTAATTGGTTGCTAACAAGTTAATTAACACCTGAAAGCAATACTCTGATGATTAATGTTATCAATGAGTCAGCTGACTGAATAAACACAGACGTCTGGCTTATTTTACTAAGACTTTTTTAAAATGGTGTTTGCGAATGATTTATCATACATGTATGCAACATACAAATTATGAATAATGAAACAACTTTGATTATTGTACTGATAATCTAATGTTTGACACATCTCTAGAGTATGACAGTTCCAATATACATGTGTATATCCATTATTATGATTTGTGTACATGTAGTTGTTCAATAAAGCAGTTGAATGGTTTTTACATTCATTTTTGATAAAGAAATGGTGTTTAACATCGAAACTTTCTGTAACAACTGAGCTAATACAGATCAGCATAAAGTGCTGTTCTGGCAAATCTGTATGTAAATTCAAACAGTACATAGGTGGACCTTGATTTCTTGATTTTTTCATTCCAAACGAATGTCTTTAGATGCTTTTCCTGAATCAATCTAATTTCGAAAAAAATAAATTGTGAACTGACAAGAATAGGATATCAATATCATTGTGGGCATTTAGTAATATCCTCTCAATATAATAAATAGTTAATTTCAATAATGTTAAACATGGTTGTTTTATGAAATTGTAACCCCAAATATGTGGCAAAGACACTCCTAAAGAGATTAACCTTACTAAACACAGCAACATTCTTACTCATGGACTGTAGGCTATATCATTACATTGTTCTGAATCAATACACAAAGGCTTGTAAGCTACAACCATAAAACAAAAATAAAACCAGTATGTCTGGCCTTTTATTTCAATAACAATTGTTCAAAAATATGTTTTTAAATTTTGTTACCCTTATATAAATGCATTTATACTATCAAATGATACACATGTGCTGGCTACCGAGCAAACTATCACTCAAGTTTAAATAAAAATAGTAGCCTATTATATTATACTGTCATTTGAACTATGACCTCATCTGAACCAGCCTACTTTACTCTGCTCAGTTGAATCAATCTTGTTTTCCTGTATTTTATGACGCTTTATATCATTGCCGGTATGATAAACGCATAACGAAATTTGACATAAAATACTCACTTTAATTAAAAACAATATTATAACTACAAGACAAATCATAAAGAATTTGATGATTAAAAATAACCGTGACAAAAACATTGCATAAAAGTGACAATTCAATTGTCACAATATTTCAGACTTACAAATCCTCTGTCACTTCACCGCTGTTTTCGTCGATAATTTGGTGTACAGCAACTGAATATCCAAAATAAGCATCCACATCTCCTTGTTTTATCACAGAAAATCTAGCATCTAAATTAAATCCATTGCATAAAAGAGTTTTTGTCAGTAAAACGAGACATAAAATGCCTCTCACCGTTTCTAACGCCATGCCGATCCAGATAGTGAAGACCATACGCGGTTTGGCGAGACAAGGCGAGAAGTTAAAACGGGCACCTGTTGTGTCGCGATTATCCAAACATATTTTACCGTTAATTTTCACTTACTGGATAACCAAAAGTAGCTTCCGGTGCAGCAGAGCAACTGACAGTGACAATTATTGAACTTTGTTGTGACTCAAGGATGATACTATCCATTAGATCATTGTTTTGAGTATTTTGATTGGGATTGACATCACTGCGAGTGTAGGACTGCACTTAAAAGACACTAAAGATGTTGTCTAATTTAGTGAAACAGCACCAAGTTCGTCAACAAGCAAGGAAAGAGATACAGGGTTGGTTGTGCAATGAAATGAAATGGGGTGTTAAGGCCTACTACTACTGTACTACTTTTACTAGGCCTAGCCAAGCTATTACTAACTATTAGGCAGCTGTTCTGCACCGACTGGACAAGTGAAGACGGGCATACATGTACGCCATACAAATGACTATAGATAACTTGACCCTTGCCAGGCCCTCTGTCCTGGATCACTGTGAGAAAGTTTCACGGTGGGTAAGACGCTGGCTCGCTAGCCTGTGGTCGGGTGTTTGATCGCGACATTGGCCGAGAAAGTTCATCCCAATTTTCCGGCATGGTTCCCCCTTGTCAGTGTTTTGTCATTCGGATGGGACCAAAAATCGAGGTCCTGTGTACACATTGGGGTGCGCGTAAAAGATCCATTGTCAGTTGGAATTCGATATAAGAGTAGGCCGTAGTGCCGCTGTCCGGGCAAAATTTCTCTCATAGCACACTGTATGGCGTATGCCCGTCTTCATTAGCCCAGTTCGGGGGGAGAACAGTAGGTTAAACCCCATTTCAACCAATGAACCTTCTCAGCCCACACTGGGGTCAAACACAGGACATCCAGGTTAGCGAGCCAACGTCTTACTTACCCACCGTGTTAGTTGTATAAAATAATATGTACCTTTTCTCAACCTCTTCACGATACATGTACACGTTTTGACAGTGTTTTCAGCGACCGTCTGAGCCTTTTATTCTGACAGATGTCGGTCTTAAAACTTTTAGACCCTTTTTATGTACAGACCTAAAATTATCAACAGTGTTAGATTTTCATCCCACATAATATACATAAACAAATCAACACATAAAATCCAATGAAACTCCCAATTTTCTTTTCTTGCCAAAACCAAAGAGACATAGCCATTTTAAGGTTACAGTGTACTTACATATTTTTTCTAACTGCGGACCCAAAATTTTTAATGTAGGCAAAGACATGAACCTTCTTCACAAAACAAATCAAGACATCATTGGATCCTAAATATGTATATATTTTAAATTGTCTTTTTCAGAAAAACGTAAACGAGATGCTATTGTAGCCTCAACTGCCCTGTCTCATGTTTTAGTGGACCACTTGAATTCAGGGTTAGTTAAGTTTTTAGATACTCAGTAACTCAATATCTACAAAATCCTGCTTGTTGATATTGATTTCTGATGACGACATAAGAAGTATGTTTAATAAATAAATATAAATTGTTATAGTTTCATTTCTGACTTTCTAAATGTAGATTGTTATAGTTTCATTTCTGTTTCATATCTCCCTGTTATACATGTAGGTTCTCCGCCATAGTTATATGTTTGCTTCCGAAATTTTATGCTAAATTAATTTTACATTGCACTATTCAACCGGTATTACAGCTAGTTATGTCCTGTTTCAATCCAGATTTCTATTTGTATCAATTGCTTTATATTATTTTTTTATAGTGTTGCTCAAGCTTATGTTAATCAAAAGAAACTGGATACAGAGACAAAGATTTTACAAGCCAATGCGGCTCAGTTCTCTAAACAGACAGTACAATGGCTTAAACTGATAGAAGATTTTAATACAGCATTGAAAGTTAGTGGTGATAAATTATTATCAGTACATTTCCTAATCTTTAAATTTAAGAAACTCACTGCATTATAAGCACAAAGGGAATCATAGTTAGGGCACTGATTAGCTATGATAGGTACATGTAAGTGTGTAGGCTCTACTATTGAGAGTAGAGGGAACTGTCACTGTCAAGCAATATTTATCTTCTCTCATATTAACAGACCATGTCGACCAGTAGATACCAATTTCTTATAGGCAATTTATGACTTAACTTTCAAATGTTAAATGTCTATGGTTATTTTAGCATTCAACTTTACTATATGATTGGTTTATACAAGAATCAATCTTTTTTTAAATTAAAAATTTAGAAGTAATTATTTCAACCAAAAGAATTTGTCAACAATGGATTGTTGGCGCCAATTGCGCACATTATAACCAACCAAAAGTCAAGGGCAATAAATTGGGCTGTATAATTTGCTGCGACCATAGAGGCAATGAAGAGTAAGAGTCACCTCTATTCCATTCAGCTATAAAACTATTCAATTGTTGACAATAAAAAGTTTATCTACAGTTCACTTGTAAAGTTTTGAATTGATCAACACCCCTGCTAATTTTCAGATGTGAATTGTGGATTTTATTATTATGTTCTATACTCTTTATAGGAAATAGGTGATGTCGAGAACTGGGCTAGAAGTATAGAAACTGACATGAGAACTATATCTAGTGCTTTAGAATATGCTTACAGAAAAACAAGGTTTGTTTCTTAATCTTTTTTACTTCTACACCATGACCCACGGTCACATTAGTAATTTGATCGTCCGGGGGCATAAGCAGTAAAATACAGATGCAAGTAACTGCTGAGAATTTTGAGCTGAACAGTGATACAACAGATTACATTGGACACAAGTTCAGCATTGACAACATCGAAACTGACAACCTGTGTTGCTTCATTTCATCCAGCAGATAATCGCGGCTGTTCAGGTATAAAGAAGAATAAATAAACATCTGTGAAAAAAAAACCACTCTTTTAGACAAAAGTCTTTTTCCTTTTTACTAACTATAAATAGAACTACTATTATGTTTGGGGGTGTGGGGGGGATGGCCAATGTGTGCTCGTTGAATCATAAGGTCTGTAATTGAGTTAACTGGTGAGGTTTCGATTCCCCGGTTGATAATGTTAATATGATACAAGTTATGGAGCACTTTGTCACAAATTTTTTGGTGTATGTTTCGTTGCCTTGTAACCTATGTTTATATTTTTCAGTTAAAGTGTTGCTGAGAAGGACAATTTTGAGAAGGAAGATGTCAGTGGATTATTGAAAATATTTATGTTGGATTTTAAAACTGCATGGCCTCGTTGATGTGGGCAGAAAAAAAAATTTAATGTCAAGGAAGGTATCTTTTTCAAAACACCATATATGCATTTTTATGATGTATATAGTTGAAACAAAATTGAAAACTTTAGTTATATATGTAGATCATTTTCAGCGTAAAGTGCCGAAATGAAAATTTTATCAAAGATGAAAATGAAGTTTTTTCTTCTTAAATTTCCAGATATTGTATGATTTTTTTGTTGTTATTTTTTTTTATTATTATTGTACATATATATTTGAATTTATATACTTATGTTTGAATATTGTATATGTATAATAAATTATTTTATATTATAAACAATTTGATTTAATATACCTAAACATATTAATAGCCTTTATATTGCTTTGGTTAAAGTGATATTAGTTCTTTTGATTTTGAAAAGCCTTATTCCACACTTCCAAAGATCATTCTGAAAGTGCTTAGCAATTAGTAAAATAGTATGGTATTTATAAAACAGACCAATCTCATTTTTAAGTATCTACCCTGAGAGGATTTTCATTCATTAAACAGGAACATAATTTTTACTTCAGCCAGACTTGCATAAATGCATACAGAATGTCACATTAACATATATGTTAATATTCAAGCATATTTGTTCAAAATTCTTACTGAATAATTCCAGAAATTTATGTAGTAAAGTTATTCATAGACCACCCCTTTTTCTCCCATCTTCATTAGCAGGGTGGGTACAGAAAAATAGGACCTTAATACCCATTTTATTTCATTTCTCTTTTCTTTGTATTCATATGTTTATTTTGAGGGCTAGAATTGCTGGAAAGGGATGACAACTTTGATTATCTGCCCAGTTTTGATGAATACTTTGAGGTGGAAGGATAAAGATGTAAACAGATGTCCATTTACAGATCAAAATAGTTAAAAACCATGATGTTAGATTTTGATTAGATGATTTTAACTCCTATAATAGTTAGATTCTAAGGAATGTTCAGCGAAAGTTACAGGTTTCATAGATGGCATGAGGACAAAAATAATTAGTAACCTCACATTTTACCAACAAAATCAAATTGTCTCCCTTGACACATCAATACCCTTCATCATGTTCGCGAGATGTAAATAGGGTTAGGGCACGTGATTGTTGAAGAGATTTTGAGTTAGGGTTAGGCCTGTTTATCATCGAAGGTAAATTGGTGGTCAGATCTAAATATTAAGGCCACCTGCAGATTTTGTAAAGGTCACGAAATGTAACATGATTGTTACCGAGGATTGTGGGTTAGGACTAGGGTTGGCACTAGCCCTATTTACATCTTGTGACCTTGCCGAAATCTACAAGTGGTCATAAAGGTAGTATGACTCTATTATTTGGAACAAGACAAAAATGGTTCTAAAAGCACATATTAATGTAATATTAATGTATGTAAAGTAATTATATATTTAATTTTAGGAAAAAAATACTGTAATTTCTAATCAATTGTGCTTGGTTAAATATGTGAACAGTTCAAATTGAACGACAGTCGTTTACGCCTGCTTAGTGCTTTCTACGTGTTTTTTTTAAATTGTTTTGTCGTTTGTGAATCTGCATTTACTAATTACTTCTACATTGTGTTGTAGGATGTTTTTATTTGTTCATTACAAAATGGCATCCGAAACCATAGGGTACATGACTCGTGACAAGTTTTGCAGGTTTTATACACCTTTATCTCTACCCAATGTAACCATCAATACATGCTTGATCTGCATGTTACAGGCGGGTGGAATAAGAGTTATGCCCCTTTCCCTTCCTTGTTGGCTGAATTCAGATTATAAATTATTATTTTCCCATTTGTATTTGCTCTTTGAAAAGTACTTGTATAACCATAGATGGTCATTGACTAGAGCTTGCCAAACCCCATATCAAATGACCTGCAGAAAAATCGCTTAACAACCTTCAAATTTATCAACATCTTAGAGGTGTTAGATCAACTGTGGAACAGTTTGCCCTAACCTGTTACGCTATGATATGTTTCATATTTACAACGCTTGAAATGTAAATTCTTACAAATAATAGTAATTATTATACTCAGTTCAAATGGCATCCAAGTTTACGAATGAAAACCCAGAAGAATAAAGCCATTTTCAGCACACTATCTACAGAACATCCTGGTCCTTTTAGCCCACTACAGTTAGTTACCCATGATTAAATAAAGCAACTATCGAATTTTATTGATACTATGTGGCTTTAAGCCTCTACTCCCAATATGTAAAAACAGAAAAATAAAACTGGCGAACAGTATCGGACACAGGGGAAGGTCAAGATGCTCGCAATGTTCCATTTGACAAATCTTAACATTTCAAAGAAATGGCGATTCGAAATAGCAAAAGAAGATGGTTGTATTCGAGTTGTTTGGATTGCCACAAAGGCTATGTATCAAAATGTGTAATATTTGTATATACAGCAGTGTGACATTTCTTAGTAAGACACATTCGATAAGACTCCAAGAGCAGACAATAGACTTTAGAATTGGGATAGTTCTCGTCCAATCAAAATGTTTTTAGAGAGATTTGAAGCAAACTTCTGACTGATAGATAAATTAGTTTGAATGTTTTTATTCCAAATATATGATCAAATCACACAATACGTACACATGGAGGCATCGTTGCCTTATTTATTTGAAATAATGACCAGTTGGTGTTCTTTTCGACAGATCATATATATTTTTTAAAATTTTAAAACATAACTATAATAAACTAACATTTAAATTTTGGCATTGCTGACATTACCAGGAAGAAGTTGGAATTTACACGGAGAGAAAACAATTTTAAAATAGTGCACCACATTATGAAAAAAGAAGATGTTATTTATTATTTATTTTTGTTAATTGCCCTGGACTCCATCTCGTGGGCCTGTTGGTATTGGACAAAGGGTTATTCCCGAAGGAGGAACCACACCACTTATAGATCAAGCCAGTTTAACACTAATATCGCAAGAGACCAATAATTCTCTAATTAATTTTATTTCAATAATTCGCTTGTGCCTGGGGGTCTTTAGCAGTGGGAAGACCCAGAGAAAACCCATAGGCTGGACAAGTGGCCCTATACTCCGTGCCAAGCAAGGGTTGGATCGAAGCTACGCCACTTGACTCAATGACAGGCCGCAAGATCTAAAGTGCGTGCGTTAGAGCATTTGGCCACCCCCACCACTGAAAATGTTAAAACTATCTAAATATAATATGGCCTATAAAACTTGGCTGAAGATTAACCCTATCTACAACATAATGCGCGAATCAGAAATTTTATAGGCTCCCTCCAAAAACAACACGCCAACTAATGCAAGCAACTTTGAGAACATCTCAAAATGTCTTCTAGAGCTGTATTAGACCGGCAGCCCAGACCTTCGAATTCCAACAAAGGTGATACCAATGTTCACCTATAGCATTATTTAGGAGTCTTTCCCTGTACAATAAAAGTGGACGTCTGTCAGCTTATATCAGGGGCCTGACTGCAGTAGCCCCATTAAACTGGCCCCTAAAACCATGTCTGGATCCAACATTAGAGGGAGGTACTGAGTGAAACCAATTTATACATGATGAATGAGGTGTTTTAATTATGGAAACAGTAATGACAGACAATATTGAGGGT